TAGTGATTATTAAAGTAAGTATGCAAGCAGGATCCTATTTTAAGCAAAAAATATTAAAGATTTGACTAGAAGGAAATGTTTCGGTTCATAACTTTTGAAATCAACTGAAGCGATATGCTTGATTAATGTAAATTTCAGTACTGCGCGCAATTGATGAAGATAATTCGGCACTACCAAACATGCTTACCGACTATATACTTACTGGTAAATCTCTGTCTTGTTTGCAATTACTGTTCGAAGATATTTGATTTACTGAATTCGAACCTTTTTGGGAAAACTTCAAAAATACAATTCCGGCTGGAAACTTTGCTGCTTCCCCTAGAATGTTGGTGTTACTCCGGCGCTCAGCAAATCACGGTCCCTTACAATGCAGATTCTTTCTGAATTTGAATCTGAGATTAAAGAGTATAGCGATTTAAAGGTGGCTTCGATTTTGTGAACTTCTGCATGGCAGGAAATCTGTACTTAAATTTGTCCGAATATAAATGCTAAGCCAGAAGTGAAGTCATACTCAGAGACTTTGTACGCGTTTAGGAAAATTGCTCATAGGACTTCGGCTTCTAGCTTTCGCTATTTTAGAGTATCCTTGTTCCCGCGTTTTTACCTCAAATGCCTAGAAAGCAACATTCCAGTCCTCTCCAGCCCTGTATAACTGCACTCCTCAGCCAACCAGTATTTCAGCCTCTCCCTGACCTTGAGTCTCCGCCTCTTTTCCACGCATGTTACCTAGTGCTTAGGGTAAAGTCATCTAATGTTACCTAGTGCTTAGGGTAAAGTCATCCATGACTTGTTCAGGTTGCCTCATTCCTAGACCCAGAAGCGAGTGCATTTTGCACAAAAATGGACATGTGCGCTAGTCGTGTTTTAGTGGCGTACGACCCTAAAATTTGATTTTAACTCTTGTGTACGCCTATTTGTCGCGTGCGGACGTGGAATCTCATAGGTTTCTCGTTCAAAAGCAATTTTGACAGAGCGCTACTTGAGAACTGAGGACTCGTTGGGACTGTGGATGAACTTGCAAGCAGCAGCAGCACCAGCAGTGGCGCAACGATCGCTGGTGCCCGCTAATCGGTAAGCATCGTAGCAGTGACTACCGGTTTTTAACGAAAGTTGTTTTTCAGTTCTCTGCCCATCGGCTTCATCACCGGTATCCGCGGATTTGAGCGCCTAATCAGTCGTATATCAAAGGCAACTTCAACTACAGCTTTATTGTTCTGCGCTGTTGGCATGAAGCAGTTCGTTGCATCTTTCGCAAGCCACCCAGTGCGCATCATCACCAGAGCCTGTTATCGCCCCGCAAGCCTCCTTCGTACGTACATCCATCACGTGTGAGCCTCTGGCAAGTCGTCCTTGCCAGTTGTGATATGAAGGTGTTCCTGCCCGAGGTAGTGGTTGTGCAAAAGTACGTCAGATAGTTTGTGCTAATTTCGTGGCCCTCACACAGCGGCTATTTAATGTTGCTCATTTCATGCACCTTTCTGCTCTGTGCTTGTAAACAGCGTATCCCTTTCTTACCCGAAGGAAGTTCCGATGGGGACTCATCCCCGACGTTTTGATCTAGAGATAAGCCTGTTCCTGATTCGCCTCGTGCAGCGCTCTCTTAAGGAACTGGCATGTCGGCAGGACTGCTAGAAAGGAGGCAAAGAACCGTTGGAGAGAACCCATTTAAATTACACGATTTCGAGAAGTATTGTCTGTTCGCTTTTTTTGATCTTTTTGAAATAATTTGGACCGCTGCATTTGGCCTGTTTTCGTATAAAACGCCAGACATCATTTACAGGAAGTGATGACTGTATGCGTTGCATAGTTTCAGCGTACTCGGCCCACCCTACCGA